GGAAACTGCATTAACCTAGAACTATTTGGGTACATTAGTTTGCAACAAAAGAGCTCTAGTTCTTTCATCCAGATACTCCATTTAGAGATTGAGTATCGACATAAGATGACGGGTGAAACATCTCATTTTATGTCATGTATGTTCGAAAAGGTTTAGAGAAATATTCTTTGACATTGTCACTTCTTGTCTTCTTAACATAAATAATGAATTGAGTTTTAATTTAAGTACAAAAGGATTGAAAATGTGACTGTAACTTGGAACGAGATTTTATAAAATAAAACTAAGTCATATGAGAAAGGGCATAAAAAAAATGACGAAATATTGAATTCATTGGATAAAACAGGAAAAGGCTCCCATACATCATTATGAACCATCTCAAAACTATGATTAATCTCTTTTTGTAATTCTAGAAACAAAAGAAAAATGGTGATGCTTAAGAAATTAACACGACTCACGATCTATGGATGATAATTGTTGAAACTAGAGATATAACTTTCTTAACATTAGTAGTGATGGATTTCTTAATCGTCAATGAACCTCAAATGGAGATAATATTTTATGGCAGGCTTTGGGTCAAGGTAGCTTGTTATCCAAAATTGTATAGCTCCCCGATTCTCGTCATTTGCCAATAATTTTTCTTCATAGGATTCTGAGAAATACAATGGTCAGGTAAGAATAAGATACAATAAATAAGAGTGCCTGTAATCTTGCTAACATAGACAATATTAAAGTAGAATTGAGGTAAATTAAGGACATGCATTAAAGGTAGTGTAGGTATAAACATTAATGGTGCTAGAACTAGGTGATGGAAGAAAAAATGTTTATGAAATTTGGAAAAAAGTTTTAGATTACCTATCTTGTGATTTGTGGCACCATAATCAATGAACCATTGTGTGAAAGAGGAAAGAATACAATATCATTGTTACTTGACTCAACAGGGCAGTGGCATAGATTTATCTAGTGTTTTTTTAAAGTTTAGGTGAATTTAGCGTATTCATATGTAGAAATCGAGAGTCGACTTTGAGAGGCCTAATTAGTAATGACTATGTAAGCTGACTATGATCTAGAACAATTTTAATTTTTTTATCAACTTTTGACACTTTTTTCTTATGACCAGGTTAATAGCAATAGTAGCAAACTACACTTGAGCATTGCTTTCTAGAATTTGGAGTTCCACTTTTATAATTGCCTTGAGATTGAGATTTATTAATGTCAATATTTTTCTTGCAAGCAAGAGTACTAGGTTGTTGCACGGAGGAAGCCTGAGAACTCAAAATAGTTCGTATTACTTTTATATAGACTTTCCTCATAGTAGGAATTACTGGATCAAATAGGATCTGTGATTTGACACCTTCATATTGTGAGTTTAGGCCAATGATAAAATTCATAGTAGTGATTTGTTTTTTGAGCCCGCTAAGTTCAGATATCAGTCATAAATGGCAATAATGCATTTAGTTTTTTATAAAAACGTTTAAAGTGCATGTGATACGGTGTTAAGTGATTGATCTTATTATTCAGCTCGATATAATTCCTTACATATATCAATGATTCGAGAAATGTATTCTCTCCCAAAAATAAAAGTGCCACTTCCTCCATTACATTTTTAATATAGTCACAATAAGTAACATGACCAAATTGATCAAGTTCAATAGAGTTCCATATTTTTATCAGAAGCTGAGCATCAACTGTCATCCACTTAAAATAATTTGAATCAGCCTTGGCTGGGAGATTATCAATGAGATGACTCTTTTGAGAAATACTTTTGAAGTAGAGTATCACAATTTTATTTCAATAAAAATAATTGACATAATTTAGTTTTTCATCTGTAATTTTAGGCACCAATGACATCAAACATGTTACGTGATGTTTTTTTTTCACAACCATGATTATTACCAAATATGAGATTAAATACATATGAGCTGAAGCGCGAGATGAATTCCAAATGAAGCGGATGAAGGTGAGCGACACAATGATGCCGAATGAAGTAGCGGGCAAATTCGAATAGGAAAAGGCAAAGCAGCTGGACAGTTGTAGTTGCACGAAGCAGATGATGCCGATCTAGAAAAAGACGAGCAACGATGCAGTCAAAGACGAAATAGACAAATTGCTTCTGGATGAAGTCAACGCCGAAGGAAAATGAAGCTGAAGGTAATATTTATGTAGATGAAGTTAAATGACATAGAGAAGTTGCAGGAAGAAGATGAGTAATGATGTAGTCGATGAAGAAGCGAATGAATTGCTTTTGAACGAACTTGATGCCGAAGACAACTTGCCGCTGAAGTCAAACAACACATGCGGATACATAATAGGATGAATACTACGTCCCAGATGATGTCACTTTTGAATGATGCCCTGAGGATGTAGACGAAGCCATTCGTGGCCTTGCACACGATATCATTCAAAGCAGAAGAAACCCTAGGTAACAAGCCAGAGCCGAAGATGAAAGATTTCCATAGACTAATGTTGAAGACAAAAGATGCAGACGGGAATGATTTGAAGAATTTCTGATGCCATGTAACGGGAATTATTTCTTTCTTCTTATCCCTTAATTGAAAGCATAAATTTTATATTTATATATATTCCTATCTCTATAGACTAAAACTATTTCTAATACAGAAATATATTGTAATTTGATCTCTTTTTATTAGGTTTCCTAATATTAAGCTTCCTAATATAAAGGCTTCTTAATATACAATCATTAGATTTATAACTCTCCGTAACACGACATAAAACTGTTTTATATTCTGAAATAATAGCTCATAATTTTCCTACTATTTGTGACGTGGGAACTAGGGCATGCGCTCGATTACGGGCGCTTAAAAACTGCGGGGCTAGAAGCCCCGCAAAAATATGGGAGACCTAAGGGAGAGCTAACTCCTCGCGATGAGCAGCGGGAAGACGCACAAAGCCTTGCATGACGGCGGGAAGAATCCCATGAAGTTGGAAGAGGCGTGAAGCCTCGCACGACTGCGCCAAAATTTATGCGAAGGCATAAACACAATGCAGAATCATGAACCATTACGATCTGGGTGGAGGTTTCGTAAGCTATCATACTTGTGACGACTTGTCTGGATTCTTCTGCCATCTTTTTGTGCTAGAATCTATAAATGGTTGTTTTCTGTGTGTAAGAGTTTGGTTCTTTGTGTTTGTAGTTATAGATCTCCTGTGTGGAGTCTCTTTCCCCTTTGTGGGCTGTTTTCGATGTGTGGTGGCGCTTCACTGTATCCTCTTCGAAGCGGTGTTTTTATTCTCCCTTTTTACCTTCCCCAAATCTTTTCCTCCCCCTCATCTGCCGCTCACTCTCCTCTGCCACCGCGACTCCTAACCATATTCCTTCCTATAGATTATTACTGTTGTCTCGCCTTCCTAGCTCCTTTCAAGCTCCTCCCAACCATCTCACTACTGCTTTTGACTACCTACAACCCTTCCCAGTTATTGTCTTTATGGTTCCGCACATCCTCTTCGCTACCACCTGCCTTCACGCAACTGCCATTGTCCACACCCTCCTCCCCATCATTCATATTCCTCTAGCTAACCTCCACCACCCATTAGGATACATTTATGAGAGTTTGTTTGTAGTTTTGTGTCTTGTGTTGTTATTTTCGTTCGAGTCATGTGTAATCCCATTTTATTGTTAATGAATGTCTGTTTTTGTGTTTCCACACTTTTCTCTGTTATTTATGGTATCATTTGGTATCAGAGCAAGTTCAATGCTAGCCCCATTCTAAGGTTTTTGAGCATCTTCATAACCCACAAAATTTTCTTTCTACCACTCAATATCCTTTCCGCAGCCACATGTTCCTAAGTCTAAATTCCCCTTGTTGAATTTTAAATACTAGCAACCTTGACCCAATTATTTCTACCCTCTTTCACCTCCACTAAAAAAATTGCCTCCCTATTCCTAAACCGTAACTATGCTACAAAGGATATCTATGCTTGAGCCCTACCTGAGACGAGGTACGGCGAGAGTTCCGCTATTTTCAACGGAGGCTTATTGGTATTGCAGAGAAAATCCAGTTAGAGGTTATCCTCGATCGTGATCTGGAAGGGTGAAGGGAAGAACGAGACAAAATGAAGATGAAGCGCGAAACACGTCAGTTCCTACCTACTTACACCGCCAAAAGTTGTAGATTCTAGCTCCCGAAGAAGAGAGACAATATCACCAAGTGACCCCTTGATATTATCCAATGAAGCCAATCCACAAATCTATCACAGAAAGAATGTTGCAAGTGCCACAGATTCAGACATGTGGAATCAGAATGTACAACCAGAGGATTGATCTATTTCACGGAGTAAGGCGGTGTTGAGACCTGTGTTGAGGACACTGTTGACATTGAAGAAGTTGTCGAACAAGAACTTTCATCCGATGAAGTCTTCCCCCATGGAACTCCCTTATTTGTGGATACATCTATTGTCTTTCCTCTATGTGATTAAAAGGAAAATGCGACTTTTGATGAGATTGTGATTCCTGCTCTCCTAGAAGATAAAGAATTTTTTGTGGAGGCATATAAAGATCACAAAAACTAGAAGATGTCAGAATTTAAACTTTTAGTAGATGATCTTAGTAACGACTAACTGATAGCATCACAGACAGCTAGATTTTCAGCCTCTATCCCTAGTATTCCTCATGAAGAGACGAAAGGCCAGCGTGAAACTCTTGTTATTGGAACGCAGCAGGAGTTGTCAATTCTCCAAAATGTCAAGTGTCAGAGGGAAGACTCGGAAGTTGACAAAAATCAACCATCATCCCTCCTAATCATTCTTATCTCTTGACCACCCATTAGGATGCATTTAAGAGTGTTTGTTTGTGTCGTTTTGTGTCTTGTGTTGTTATTTCCATTCCAGTTTTGTGTAATCCTATTTTAATGTTAATGAAAGTTTGTTTTTGTGTTTCCACTATTTTCCCTATTAGTTTTTGGCTTCAATTTGTTTTTTCAATTTCTGCCTTTGTGCCACTTTTTTCTTCTTTTTTTAATTCTAATCTTGTTTATGCTCTCCAGAATCAGGGTTTTTTGAACAAAGAGCAATGTATCTGTCTGTTTGAGGAGTTAAACAAGTACAGGTAACCTGCTCTTCCTATACTAGGGATATTATGGAACTTGACAGTACTATTGTTGTTCCTTAAATGTTGAAACTATCCAATTTACTTTATAGGATATTTTCATTTAATAAGCTTTTTAAACATTTCAATTATATTTGTTATGCAAAAAAAAATTGCAACATATTCTGCGTTTCAATATTGTTTTTCTTTTGTCCTTATTGATAGTTTTGGAAACGGTTGATCTTTATGGTAAAATTTGTTTTGAAAGTTGATATATCACTGAAACTGTATAGATCTTCTAAAATTAAAGTGTTGAACATCCGGCTTCATCTTGAACCTGATTTGCATCTAGTTCTAATATCCTGATTATAATCAACAGATAGGTTTCATTATTAGCATAATGTAACCCATCTCTCTATTTTTTTTCTATTGGATATATTTGCTTTGAGATGATGGAATTTTTCCTGTTCTTTTTTCAGATTCATGGAAATTTGACTACTTAAGCTTAATTAAAATTTGACTATTTAATGCTGTAAATACTAGATTTAGTTGTCTGATTTATTTAAATGTTATTCTTTTAATCATATGAGACTCGAATTATTTATCCTTTTGACAAGACCAAGTCTGTCTTTAGGTCATTGCCAAAAACATCAAGGGAGGATTTTGAGCTGATATTTGATGAACTTGATCATAGCGGGGATTTTAAGGTAAGGTTTATGTTTTTCCCTTCTGATCCCTTTTGACAACACTGATTTCAAGCTATGGTTTATCTGAATTATCAGCCATAGCAAAATCCTGTGCATCTTGTGAGCGTACTTGTGAATGATAGTAAGATTCTGCGTAATATGTGCTTACTGTTCGATTTTACCTGCTGATTTTTATTTCTAGATCACTTTAGAAGAATTCACCGACCTCTGTAATGCTATTGCTCTAAGGTTTGAAAAAGAAGCGTCAGTAAGTTCTTAGTCTCAAATACTTTTAAGCTTTTAAATGTGTACATATACCTATTAATTAATGCATTCTGTTGCTTTTTGTGGCTGCTCCATTTCCATGTTCTGTCGTTTCAGCCGCTGTTAATAGTATAAGCTCTACAAGGATGTTTATTGACTCTTCATAATTTAATGCAGCCTTCTTGCTTTGAGAACTATCCATTGTTTTACCGTTCACGACAGTGTGAAAAGTTGAAAGCTTTTGTTCGAAGCCCTACATTTGGATACATTATAGCTTTTGTTCTTGTGCTGAACTTAATCACTGTTATCATTGAAACAACGGTATGATTTAAATTTTTAATATTGATTAATTGTTTGAATTCCTTTATGACTTGTTTGTCTTTTACCCGTCTGTTTATTTAATTCTACCTCATTTAATTGCATCATGATCTCTGTTTCGGTTGGATATATCTTACAAGTCCTTGTGCAGCAATTTTAAATCTTCCTATACCCCATCAGAACTCTGAATATGGTTGCTTCATCCTAAGCTTTTATTTTTGGCTTTGAATTTAAGAGCATAATAAAGTAAAAGGTTGGAAATCTAATTTATAAGTTTTTCATGGCTAATAAGTTACCATATAGGGTTGCTAGGAACAATTAATTTTTTTGTACTAGAAGGCTGGGGATAGATTTAGTTTGAAATGACAACAACAACAACAACAACAAAGCCTTAATCCCACTACGTGGGGTAATTTAGTTTGAAATGAGATGAAGTAAAAATGGTGGATTAAATGCAAGACGGATTGAAGTTGTGCTAGTATGTTATATAAAGTAGGATTAATATCATATGCAAAACTTAATATAGTTGAATCTTATTGAAGGATTCATAAGACTAATGTATATAATTTGTGGAAAAAAATATCAAAGAGTAGAATTTGATTCTTTCGTAGGTTGAGCCTAACGAAAATCGGTCTACTAGCTAGTCCACAAAGTATAACCCTTTTGAGATTGAATATTAGGGAAATCTTCTCACTCCATTAGAATTAGTGTTGATACTTCTAGCTATTGAGCTTAGCATGTATGCAGTGGTTAGAGTCAGAGAGATTTCAACCTTACATGTGCAAATGGGGAAAAACTTGCTAAGTAGAGCACCAAGATCAAAAGCAAGCTAGTAAGTCCTAGAAGACCATAATTTTCAAGAAGGTGATTTTGTGTGAATCAAACTTAAGAATGACAGTTTTCGTGTAGGTTTATTTGGAAACCTCAATCTTAGGGTGGATGGACTTTCAGAGTTATCGGGAGGATTATTGACAACACCTATAAGATTGATCTGCCGAGAGACTATAACATTTATACTATCTTTAACATTGTTGACTTGCTCCATATTATGATGATCTAAATGCTTTTAGAGAAGAAGGTAAAGCCTTTCTTACAAGTGGAGGGGTGACGAGAGAGCAAATCTTGCATTCCAAATGCAGAGGTTGGAAAGGTTAGAGATAAATACCGCTGCGAGAACAAGCTAGAAAGCATCACTCAATCTTTTGGAAGGAGATCACATATTTAGACAAGCTACATCTGGAATACTACCCGTCTTTGGATATAACCCTAGAAGGGTGAAAGAGTATACTGACGACTGTCCTGACAGATAGCATACAACAAAACTCATTTCGTAAACACAAATAAATATTAGAAATAGGATAATTAGGAGTGGACCAAGAGGACCAGCTGACTCCTCAACATTGTGAAAACCTTAACCGATTCAGTTAAGCTATGACAAACGGGAGCCAATCCTGTCACGAGATTTCTGCATTGCTTCGAGCGTAAGATTTATTCTGCTTCCCGACACGCGTCAAGGAGTGTGTGACTTATCCGCTAGGATGCGTGTTGATCATGAAATAAGAAAAAGAAAAAAAAATAAATTTATTAATTAATTTCCTGCTTACCTTCTCCTTCCATACTTATTCATTGGGGCCCAGATAACTGCTCTTGCTTATACTTAGTTACAAAGGGAGCATGAAGACTTTTCCCTGGCCCTTCTTTTTTCGTTGTCTACTTGAAACTGCACTGAATCTCGAAACCTTCCTCTCTTGCAATGAACCCTTTTCTCTACCTCATGCATGACCGAAGCCACATTTTCCTACCACTGTAACTCCCATCTTCCTATGGCACATGACCACCCTTCTTCTTCCTGTTCTAAGCTGCAACCAATGCCCTTGTTTTTCTCCACGATTTGTAAAAATAGGCCGCATGATCTTCATCCGCCTCCCTTCGATTGTACTCATAACAACCTCTTGTTTGTTCACTCCTCTATTCACACAATTCTTCACGCATGAAGCCCACTTGCAAGACTCCACCGTCCAATCCACCCTGCGCATCACTGTGCTTGCTTTTTATTTCTTGCTTCACATGTCTTGTACATCGTCAAGCCTATCTGCCTTAAGTAGCGCCGAAACCTCAAATTCCTCTGGCGTGCCTCCCTGTAGGAAACTCTCTCCCGATCCAATCACTCGATTGTTTCAAAACTTCGGCTTGTCGCAAGAATCGTGCAAGGCTGCTCCAGTCAAAGCCTCACAATCCAAAGCTTCACCCTTTCTGCCTCCGTTGTTCTGCCCAAATCCAAATCGAGCCTTATTTGTGTTTGAATAAGGCTCGATTTGAATTATAAGTGTTGATACTTCTAGCTATTGAGAATTAGTGTTGAATATTAGGGAAATCTTCTCACTCCATTAGAATTAGTGTTGATACTTCTAGCTATTTGTGTTAACCGAGTCCCTCTCGCATTTCTATTCGAGCTCGGGCACCAAACTGAGCCATTTATAGTTCATTTTATTTTTGTATTATTGTGTTTACATTGTAATTGTAAGAACAAAAAATCATACAAGTAAAAGAACTGTATTTTATTTTGTTTTGTATCATCTTAAATCTCCTTCGTTGTAGATCACCACTGTCCTCATTGCCTAAGCTCAGAAAGATATAAAAATGGACATGGAGGGAACACTTTTAAAATATCCATTTTAGGAAACACGAGCACCCGTCCTTGGGAATTAAGTACCATTTGGGGAAAACTTCAGACTCGTTTGGAAAATTTTTATAAAGTTAGGGGTTTTAAATACCAGCTTTTGGCAATTAAATACCGTTCGGAGAAAGTAAAGTACTGCTCGGGAAATATCCATTTGTGATTTAACCCTTTTTGTGGTATATTGAAGGCCCGTTGTGGGTTTTAAGACCGCGAATTAAATGTACATTTTTGCTTCCCTGCTGCAATGTCTCATAATGCTGACCAATGATTCTTTTAAGACAGTTGGGATGATTGACATTCTCCCTATGCCCCCTGATGGGGGTTGATGATGGGAGGTTGCCAAATTTTTAGGTGATTTTGAACTTGTAAATTGTTGTAAATCTTGAAAATTTTGAACTTATAAAATAACATAAAATGTGAACCATGTGAATTTTAAAATAATTTGGAAATTCAATCTTTTAAAATTTTGGCTCTTAGGGTTCAAAATAAATAGGCTCCTAAGTTTTCAAAAATATTTAACGTTGTGAGATTTTGAAAAATAGGCTCCTACGACTTAGAAAAATTATAAAATTTTGGTTTTAAATTTAAGTTCATAAGACTTGAAATATTTTAAACTTGAGGTTTTCATATTTAGGCTCCTAAGATTTGAAAATCACTTCAAAGTAGTGTTTTTGGAATACAGGCTCCTAAGGATGAAAAATAATTCAAATATGACGCTTTTGAAATTAAAAATCTTACGAATAGATCAACAGTTCTAATTTGTAAGCAGACAGATAGCTGTTCTTTTTTAAAGCCCACGATCATAATACATTTGCAAATATTTTAAACTCTAAAAGATTTCAAAATTTATATAAACTTGATATTTATCTCCTAAGTCAAATGCAATATCTTGAAATGTGTTCGACTTTTAAGAATTAGATAAGTAACAATTGTGATACTCTTGAGTTATGCATGCTTAAAGATGTTTTTATAAGCAAGTGAATTATATACATATTTTCAAAATCTTGCATGTGCCTCTTGATGTAAAATTTATATTAAAATTCACGGTTTAAAATTTGTGCCAGTCTTAATGCTTATAAAACTTTTCATGATATTCAAATACATGAATTAATCCACATGTGCTCCATCGAATTGATTAAGTGTTTAAGCTTAAATGGTTTGAGAATGTTGTGCGGGTCAAATATAAACTTATACTGAACGGTTATTGGTATAATAAGTGTGCAAGTTTCATTTAAAAAAAGTTAAATTAAGGAACCCTCATATATTAAAAGTCAAATCCAAGATAATTAAATAACTCTATAAGGGCACATGTCGACACGACTTATATCCTAAACAGTTTAAACTAACAAAAATAAATTCTCTTTAAATATAAAAGTTTTAAATATTTAAATTTCTGATGATGATTGTGTTAATTGAAAATCTCAATTAGACGAGTTAATTTCAAACTAACATTAAGTTTCAAATCAACTTTCAAGTAAAATTAATCACTTAAAAGTTAAAAGTAAAAAATTCAGCTACCCTCCATAATAATATGTCGAGTGTGACAAATTTTTGATTGATTTTAGCTCATAAAAGCTGAATGTCATATCAAATGTACATTATACTCATAATCGCAAAAATTTTATGCCAGTAAGGACGCGATCTAAATTCTTTGTCCGCGTGTTTTTGCTACCAAATGGTGTTACAAAATTGTGGTTACGATCAAAGTGCTCTAATCGGGCGGTGTTGCCGCCAAATGACATCATTATATGACGGTTACGACTGCAACCGATATGTATCTTATAATTTTTGACCATTTGAGTTGTAAATCATAAGGATACAATTGATTGACACAAAGTCTTTTGTCAGCTAAGGCGAGTTAAATTTGTCCTCTTAGATAAACTTTCATTGCATATCTATAAAGATCCATTGGACGACACAAGACATAATTGTTGATGAGGATGTTTCAGTTCACTTAGATTGATGACCTCCTATGATTCAACAACTTAGAGACCACGACAACCCAACACTACTTAACTATTTGATTTTGATCGGATTTCATCATCGTTTCCCCCACCATTCACTTTAAGCTTCAATTGACAGATCTTACAATTTAAAATATTTGTTTGTTGCTATTATCTGTTGACTATTTAGTGCTAAATGACTAGCTTTAATCGAAAGTGTTCTTCCGTTATTGGGAGGTGTAATTAACTATAAGGGCTTGCGCCTATGAGAAACCTCGAATCTCAGATAAAAAAATCCTAATGAAATAAGGGTGAAATCTCCGGGTAATGTTTTATCTACTATTCTATCTGCCTTCCGAAAATTTGATCATCTAAGACTC